CCTCTGAATTTGCCTAGTAACTATGAATTCGTCGAGAAAATGGTAATATTTTATGAGAAATAGTCGGTATTTCTCATTTTTTTTATTCTTTTGCATAAAACTAAAATTCATGCCAATATTTTTCCATGATTTATAATAATTGGAGTAATGCAAGTGCATATTTTCTAAAAAAAGTCAGTTTAATTTTGCCGGGAATGGGGCTTTAAAGCTCTAAATAGATGAAGTAAATAAAAATATGTATAAAGTGGAAATTTAGGCCTACAAAGAGTAACTTATAATTAATATCCTATATTAAAATTGTTTATATTTGTTTTCTCCCTTGGCATTTTGTAGAACCAAGTACAGTTCACGACGTGACCCATGACATCATCAAAACAGATCCACAGAGTATACTAGTCAAATGGACAGTAAGTTTTATGTGAAATTACATTATACACATTTTAAGTAATTGTATTATCAATAAACCTAAAGTAAATTTGCTTGAAAGACCCTTCTGTAATGAACTTTTTATCGTTGTCAAAATATTCAGTTTGTATTTGTGGTATAGGTCTAGTTGGTATAACAATATTGTGTAACATCTGCTTGAAGAAAACATGTGTTACGTTTCCGCTAAAACTAGGTATATTATTTTTTAGTTGTCATGTTTTCATTTATACATTTGTACTTTCTAGTGTGTGGCCTCGTCAGTTAAAGCATCCCAGATTGCCCTATGCATAATACAGTAAAATTAACATAAATGTTCTGGACCTAACTAAACATAGTACTCGCCAGAAACTTCTGTTATCCAAAAAATTTAGGGTATTTAAATTCCTTCTGTTCAAAAAATATATCTAAATAAATAGTGATGTTTTGTTTAAACATGTACCAGTATTATATTTTTAATCAAAAGGTAGTTGAGATGGATGCAGATACACTAAAATGTTTCAACTCTACATATTTCTACACTGTGTATCTGAAATCGAATAATGGTGAAGGAGTTGGTGATGTTGTTTATCAGGGAATTGATACTAAAACTGCGATATACAACATTAATGTTGATGCTACTTACGTCATTTTGATAACTGTGTCCAATAAAGATAGCGAAGGCGAATTCAGTGAAAGTCATCTTGTAGATCATGGTATGTCCTTCCTAATGATCCATAATTACTGTACTATAACTTAATTTGAATGTATTGATAGTTTATATTTTTGAAAGTATTTATGGTACATTTTTTAGCAATCCCAATAATTTAAGTTTCAGAATGTTAATATTAATTTTTAATTGTTATTATTTGATTTGGTTTTTTGCAGAATGTGAAACTGGATTTTTTGGAGAAAACTGTGAAGAGAAATGCACCAAACCATGTATGTGCCACAGATTGACGGGAAAATGTGTGTCATGTTATTCAAATTGGCTTGAACCCAACTGCGAAATCGGTGAGCTATTAAGAGTTTGTTTCAAATATAACACGAGAAAGGGTAATAAGTACACCCAGCTGT